GTGTTCCTGTGGAGCCGGGCCTGGGCGCCTCCCTGCGAAAGCACGCTGAGGAGGCTTTGTAGGGCTCCGGGTGCTCTGCTGGGGTCGGTGCCACCCCGTCTGGGGATATGTACAGCCACTCCCCCTCCCCCCCGCGCCCTCACCGCCCCCCGCCCCCCGTGTCCCCCTCGCTGGAGCTTCCTGGGCTCCCCCAGGAGAATGAGGAGTGACGGGGTGGTGCTGCGCGGAGGAGCGTTCCTCCTGACCAGCCTGGGAGGGCCGCACCTGTGGGGATGTGCTGGCACATGAGTTTTCCCTAGCAAATATTCCACAAGCTGCTAACGTGAAATTTTCTGCTGCAAAGAGCTAACTATGCTTGAAAAACTGATGACTACTTGCGCTAGTTTTACGATTGGAGAGAGCTTTTTAGCACTTCAGGCCCTCGGTCTGGCAGATTTTTGCGAAAAGAGACAGTCTTCCATTAGAACGTTTTCCCAGTTGTGCAAGAATAGGAAAATTTTTAAGAACTTTAACATAAAACCGAAGTAGACGTAAATAAAGTGTGGGCGGTCATGAAATCTGCTTAAAATGTTCAGTACTGCTCATTCAGTTTCATACAAGTTTACTTATTGCTAAGACAAACTTAACAAGGATTAAAATTAATAAAGGATTAGGCAGATTTAGGCTAAGCTATTTAAAGGCAAAGCAATGTTAATTAAATTGACTTAAGTAATTCAGATTAATCAGTGATGCTTCAGACACTAAATGGAGAAAAAGATGACAGAAGTCTGGCCAGAGATGAGAAGAACAGTTTAAACGGCAGCTAATATCTTGATTATTGCCCTCTACGCACTTCAAATAAAGGCACAATGAAGTACAGTTCACACGCGGTGTATCTAACGTTAAATACATCTAAGCAGCTCCCTGCGATTGTGACAAGAAAGTGACGTTTTTGATGTCTTGAGTTGAAAGGATAGTTACCCGTCAGGCCTGCGAGCAGGATTCGCGATCGTCTTCAACTGGGAGAGGTGAGTAATCCCACGGATGGCGACGATGCTTCCTACTGGCGTGAAATTAGCACACGCAGAATTACCTGCAGGACGCTGTTTCCCTACGATTTTGCATGTAACTTAAGGATCTCGCTGAATGCACTTTTTTTTGTCAGAGGCGCTCTTTTTTTATCATCAGTGGACACTATTTTGAATGTAATTATATTTTATAATCCGTGAAATGCAGTTAGCACCTGCTGCCATTTTACTATATGACTTTATAAAATAATGTTTTTTAATGTAACACACAACAGTTACCCTTAGGGCATCGTTTTTACTTGCTTTCTAGTGGAGAGGTACAGTGGCTGAAACACAAATTGCCAGGATTTCATCTTGTGAGTAAGAAATTTGTGTAAACGTTGTGATATTTATTTAATTGCAAATATGACGGGTGCTGCGTGAGTGAGAACTACGGCAAGAACGTGCTCCCAGGTGGAAATATTTAACAAGCGTGTTTTGTTGGTGTATTTGAAAGAAATTGAACTTTTGAATTCAAAGGTAACCAGTCCTAAAAAGTAAGATTTTTTTTTTTAAACTGGGTGAAGTGTTTAGACTGAAGGTATTTACTCGGAAGATTTTCTTTCCTCTCTGAGCAAACCCAACGCCTTGCTCCTTAATTTTTCCTTCCCTTCCCCCACAAAACTATTTCGCGTTTCCGCATTGAAACGCGGCGCTCGCAGGAGCGGCCCTTACGCGCTACGGGAGGTAACGTTTAGGTCCCTGGGTTTTAAAGCCGGTGCTGGCGGGGGTCCCGCTGCTCCCTCTGGGGTGTAGGAGTCGGCCTGCACTTTGCCATGTGCCGTGTGCCCCGAGTCACGGTGACGGGCGGTTGCGGGCAGACGCGTCCTCTTGGGCTTGCGTGTGATAGCACGTTAGCTTCCCCTCGGTACTGGCTTTTTGGCCGTAACTCCCCGAGGAAAGGTAAGGGGGGCAAGCCGGCGCGTTGTGTTAATCCGTAGCGTGATCCCGCCGTGCCGGTAGTGGGGACCACTTAGAGGTGACATTGTTTTCTTTGTTGCTCTAGGGAAGATGATGGCTTGGCTTGCTTTGCCCTCTAGTGGCGGGGGGGGGCAAAAAAAAAAATGCAAGCTAGCTCGGTCCCTTTGCTTAATACACACATATAAAATTAATATTAAAAATCTCCAGCCCCCAAAAGCCGAGCAGAACCACAGTAAAGGTGTTTCCAGAGCTTTCCCAAGACGTTAAGGAACAGTGTTCCTCAATCACCGCAAGAAGGAAATCATCATCGGTAATTTATGAAGAATTTTTTCCAGTCACATCCTAGCTGTGTGAAAAGAACAGCGTGAATTGGGGTGGAAAAATCCGACCAGCGTCTGCCAAGGGCTCCGGTGCTCTTCTGGAGAGCTTGGTGTACCTGCCTTGACAGAGGAGTTCATCGACACGGTGCCCAGCTGATGTCAGCTGGCTGCAGCCCTGTGTCGGCTGGAGTTTACGGGAAAACACCTGGTGCATTTTGGTTGCCTTTCTGCGAGATGCATACGTATGCCTTGCTAGTGAAGACGCAGACATAAGAAATTACGGTGACGATGCAGAGCTGGGTTTCTTTTGCCTTTTCTCAAAGCGCCTGTTTATGCGGAGAGCCATGACAAAGCGAGGAGTGGGTAGGCTGAAACACCGTGCTGCCTTCTGGTACCTCCCCTGTAGCCACACCGCAGCTGTGTTTTGTCCGCTCGCCCGCCGCCGAGGGACAGCCGGGGAGGGTGAGGCCGTCCCTCTGGGCGTTTCTTGCTGAAGTTGACGGTGGTTTATTTCTGTTCCTCTTCTTAAGGAAAAGGGTAGTTTTCAGTTGTGTCGCCGTCCTGAACTGGCTGATTGTCTCACTGTAGGAGTCCGCCCGGGGGTCGGGGGAGGGTGAGGCCGTCCCTCTGGGCGTTTCTTGCTGAAGTTGACGGTGGTTTATTTCTGTTCCTCTTCTTAAGGAAAAGGGTAGTTTTCAGTTGTGTCGCCGTCCTGAACTGGCTGATTGTCTCACTGTAGGAGTGCCCGAGAGGCAAGCAGTGGCCTGTGGCTGCAGATAAGCCTTCGGTGGGAAGCCATCCCCTGTGACGATAGCGCTTCGGGTCAGCTCACGTGCTACGGACCCCTATCCTGAGCACACACAGGTAGCTGTTGTTGGATCCGTCTTAAAAGGGCTAACACCGATAAGAAGAAAGACTAGTCATTCGTTGTTGCTCGATATAATTGCTCCGCTTAACGTGGAGCACCAAAGAGGTCCTGTGTGGTAATTTCCTAACTCCCATGACGACATCCACTAACAAAGATGAAACATTCAGCATCCCTTGCCCCGTGTGCCCTCTTGCCCCGTTGCTGCTTTAATCTTCGCAGTCGTACTTTCCCGATTTCGAAGTACGTGTACTAGACCTGTTGAGAGCTTCTGACCAGGGCACCGATGCTGAAGGCTGTCCAGGCTTCTCCGGCGGCGGCTCTGTGGTTGTGCCATCTTTTAGCTGCCCTTGTTACGGAATCGGGGATTACACAAGAAGGGCTTTGACGCTCGAGTGCGGCACTTGGGTATCATCTGTTCTCCAGGCAGGCTTTGAGGGTTGAAATCACAGGCTTAAATTTCAGCCAGGGAGATTTAAGCTGGACATTGCATAAAACAGTGCAATAACTTCGCAGAGCAGTTGTACGATCCCGCTAGAATTAGAGGTCCCCCGGATCCCCGCTGTGAGGCAGGAGCAGAGATCCGTGTGCTCTGCCGAGAGGTGCGGGAGGTATTGACGGGACCGCAGCGGGCCATGCCGGTGCACCCCAGGCCGGCCAGGACGGGGGTACGTCCCGGCGCCCGCCGCCGCTCCGTGGCGCACGGCGGGGCCGCACGGGGGCCGCCACCC